TCTCTTTCCTTCTTTTTTCGAATGCACGTATCCCGTGTATACGTATCCGCGGATGTCGGACTATACGTCGATCGTTTGTCCGATAGCGAGTTAGAAGTGCAGGACCGTCGTACGACACGAGTCCGTGATCCATTCGCGGCGCGTCCGCCGCGTCTACGCCGCTGGAAGCTATCCGTCAGCTATCCGAGATTTCGCACGAGGATACACGCGCGCCGCTGCCGAAGGAGAACGTTCTCGCCGTGGCGCGCGATTTGTCTTCCGCGCCAGCGAGACCTGATACCTTCGGCTACCTTAACGCCCGCAGTCGCAGGGCTGAGAGACGCGATAAAATTTAGGAATAAAAATCCGGGGATAAAAGAATTCAAGTACAACGGTATCGCCCGTGAGAAGAGAATGCGAAAGGCGCTGCAAATTGACGTTGCCAATTTAGATCCTAGTTTACATTATAACTGTATAGAATTTATATCCCATCACATAACATTTATCAATGGTATATTATTTTATCAGGCAATGCGTTTAACAATAAAGTATCCGCCGCGAAACCGCTTTCGTCGCCGGATACCGGGATCCGAGCAGTTTACAACCGGCGGAAACAATTTCCCACGATACAAATGACGCTTTTTGTCGCGGACGAGGCTGAGTGAGAAACAATGTCCGGCGGTGGGCGGACGGATACGGCCCTGGGACCACATACGCGACTTCACGTAGAAAACGTTCGTCTCTATATGTAGAGTGTAGGCGGTGTTCCTAGCAGGTGCTCATTAGATTACAGGGACGATGTTCGAGATGTTAGCCACCTTTTACTCACTGCTCGAGAGGCTTCCACGCGAGATTGGGATCTCCGTGTGGTTTCTTTCCACGACGTCGCTCGGACCCTACCCCGCCTCAGCCGCATCTCCGCTGTTACACCCGTGACCACCTCCTCATCCACCCATCCTCCTCGCGCTTGTCGATGTTACCGATTTTTACGAGAGCCTGAAAACCATACGACCTTAACGCGCGCACCCAGCCCTCGCGCACGGTCCTCGACCAGCTGCTTTTCCCTCTTTCACTGATCGACTCGGCTTGTCTTTTCCCTGGATTTACGAGCAGGTAATCGCGCCTTTCTAACAAGATCTCTATTTAGTGTCGCCGTGTCGGAAATGGACGTTGTTTGTCTCGCGATATGAATGCGATCGATAAATCATTGACGCCGATATTATCATTGGTATTCCTGTTATGAAAATCATTAACACGCTTATACAAGCCTCTCCGATAATTCTATGTTTCCAACATAATTGATTTGATTCATTAGCGCAACATTAATTAATCGTGAATATTAAGCAATTATTATATAAAAGATGAATAAAAAGAGAAAGCAATAAAAAAATAGTTATCACGTATATTTTATCCTAATTCTTATAAAAAAATTGCATAAAATTTGTCGATTCTGTATATTTATATTTTATATTCAGACATTCCAAACTGTGTGTACTAACTATTATTTATCCTGATCTACTCTCGAAAAGCAGTCGCCTTAAACAGTCAACATCACGAAAAGAAAGGACGAATTCTCATCGGCATCGCGCGGGCAGGTAAGGGCGTCGGTAGTGCGTTTATACATATCGCAGCAGGAAGTCGGCATACAAATGATAATCTGAAGCCCGGCCGCGCGCTACGAACGCGCGTATTTATGTATGTGCAACGCGTGTAACTCGCGCCCACCGCGACCCGGGCGCCGGGTCCTGGGAGTTGAATTTGTCGCTCCATATCTCGTCCCGGAATTTATGAAAGCCGGGCTCGCCATAATTTACGCGGTCGTGCACGAGCGCCGTAAATAACGGCGGACACAAAGCGCGAGGAAGGTGTAAGAGATGGCGGTGGAGCGGAATTCGGGGCTCCGGGAGTCCATTGAATTGATAACGTTGCCTCCGTCGCCCTTTGTACGGGTTCGCGTCGCGGTCATAAAACTGCGCCCTTTTCACACTTTTTTCTCGACCGTCTTCCTATAATTTTCGCACGCAGCCCACAATTGATAATTTATGTAAAATAGTACAATTAATGTTTACCGGCTACTTCCGCGAGAATCTTCGAGCTCGTTGCTCCCCTCGTCGTCCGCTGAATGCACGAGCTCCAATCACCGTACAGGAATCTAATTACCGTCTAATTAGGACGATCGTGTATCGTCAGTGCGATTGCATCGAACATCGAGTTAAAGACCGATGCATGTGTGGCGATGAGCCATATTTTCTTTTCGCGAACGACTTTCGACTACAACGGTGAAAATGATTAGGGACGGAGGGGAGCAGCAAGAGCCAGATGGTTCGTTAATTACGATTACGCCGAGATTATACTGTAATTTTTATCAGTAATATTATCCCTGCGATTTATCAAATTTTATTACAAAGTCGCACGAATCTTACAGGCGGATCAAACTCGCCGGCTTTCGCAGTCGACTATTCGACGGAGGTGGTTCTGAATTACGAATACACCTGCATCCTTGACACGGAAGTCACCGATGGGGCCCCGTTATTCGATCGCATTAGCATAATCGGACGACCGATGTAGCACGTCCCTGCGAAATGTTTCGTGTCTCGATGCCACGGCGGGTCGACAATGTGCCGAGCGCGCATTCCGCAATTATGGTCGTCGCGGGATAGAATTATGCATCTGCAAACACGCGCGACAGGCTTCTAGCCAGAGACCTCGGCCGGAGGATGCCCTCGGTCGCCCGTAGAACGAGCAAACGGAGGAGGTGGCGGGGGAGGAGAGATGAAGAGAAACGCGTCCTCGCGCGAGCGAGCGCGAGCGAACCGCCGCGAGGAGAGCGCGGGAGGAGATCCGGTAAACTGGCAGCCGCGCCGCTTAATGACGATGTTAATTAATATATTTGAAGCGTCGGCGACGTGACGCGAGACGGTACGAGACCGACTGCTCGTACGGATTAGCATAAGCAAACCCGCCGAGGCGACTCTTTCGTGCGCGCTGCTAGAAGTGTTAATTCTTCGCTAGGCCGCGCAGCGGCTCGGCAGTTCCTGATGTGAATAGGACACCAGGAGGGGAAGATTGACGAGAGACACCGCAGTAGAACGGCGGTACAAGTCGCGAACAGCGAAGGAGGAAGAGAAAACTGCGAGGAATTACAAAGAGAAAGATTACAGGACGAACGTTGCAGGCTTTGAAGCGGGTAGAGAGAAAACGAAGGGTGAGAGCGCGGTCCACGACATATTCATAAATTGCCGAATACTCAGACTGAATTAAAATAAAGTACAGAAATAGAAATGTTGAATAAACATTTCCGAAAGAACAGCAAATATATATGCGTGTCGAAAGAATTTTAGCGGGGCTAAAAAAGTATATTAGAAGAAGAAAAAAAGAAGAATGAAAAGAATGACTACCAGTAACAAAGCAAAAGGAGTAAGTGGAAAAGCGAGAAGCGGCGACGAGAGGAGGAAGGAGATATCGGTGTCATCCTCGAGCGCGAAACAACGCGTGTGTCCAGCGCGCGGCGAAGCGTCCTCTTAATGCGAGCCGAGTGCTCGGCAAACAGAGTCGCATTAGTGCGCACCCGATCCATTAATGAAATCAAAACGGACCCGAGAAGAGCAGCGGAGCTCCTTTCGCTCGATTGCGTCATTACAGTCGGTCGGTTGGTCGATCGGTCGGTCGGTCGGTCGGTCGGTCGGTCGGTTGGACCAACGTGATAGATCAGCCGTGGGACCGTCGTGCGGGTCCACCCGCCGCCGTCGCCGCCGCCGCCGACCGGTTATGTCACACCATTATTTCATCCTTTATGTTTCTACGCTGTATGTTGTACGCGTTCATCCGTGTATTTCGTCAGAGAGTCTAGTCGCGCGCGAGCGAACGCGTCATTAATGCGCGTAATAACAGCCACGAGCGACAGTCGAGGGATATCTTTGATATAAATTATACGTTGGAAAGGATATCGCCGGCCGTTTGTGTTAGCCATAAATTATCGCCCCGCGAGAGCAGGAATTTTGTTTCTCCGCAGCTTCCCGGTCTGCTTCAACCGAAATCCCGTGTGATCGATTTTTCATAAAATAGCAAATATAATAATTATGTAATTAGTTAGGGCTAATTTATATGTGTAGTAATAAATGATGTGTAATGTGAATGAATTCTTCAATCCCCTTTAGATATATGTACAATTAATGCAAAATATAAAATATAAATCTGTTTAAAATATTTATATATAAAGTATCAAGTTACATATACAAAATATATATACAAAATCAGGCTTAAAGATAGAGATTCTCGATAGACGAGATAATTAATCTCTATTCTTTTTTAATTGCCAATTTTGATCATAAAATTGCGAAATTGTAAAGATATAAAAAAACACAAACATCATTCGATCTGTACTCATTCATTCTCCAATTAATTTGGATGAATATTTCCAGAAATTGTGATATCGTGAGTCGCGAGTGAAACTTAAAAGGGATTTCTCCGATCGGCGAGCCAACATCGTCGCAAATCTTCGCGGAGACGAAGGCGAGGGCATCCATGCCGCGACGGTGCGGCATAGCACGTATCGATACATATACGGTCGCGACCGGTGAATTATATCAACTGCCCGATTTGTACGCTATTAGCACGAGAAGATCTCCGATCGCACTGGCATAATTCTCTATCCGACGACCGTTACTCCGTGAAAATCGCTCGTAAAGACTAATGCCAGACTCGTAAGCGTATACGTCGGACTCCTTTATTGCTCCATTCTTCCAATCGCGCCGGTCTACTAACGACGGCGCGCGGTGACCTATCAGATGCAATTCGCATAAATCCCCTTATCTCGCTGTAATACAACCTGCACTTGGTTTTCGATTTTCTTGGCCGACGGAGCGCGATAAAAATAGCCCGTAAGGATAATGAACCGATACAATTTTCGCGTTACATAATATTTCTTCTACGCAAATTATTTTGATAATTTTATTTTAAAAATTTTGGCCACCCTAAACATTTTTATTTCATTATTAAAAAATATATACAAATTTACTCACCGGCACGATGCGCAGCAGCGGAGTTGTTGTTCTGTTGGTCTGCCAAGTTAATCTGTAAAATATAAAAAGAAAATTCAAATTATAGCAACGTAAAATAATGTATGATAAAATATATATATATATATTTGCAAATATAAAAGGGCCCAAAAATAAAGACCACGAACGGTCCTAACGACAGAGAATTAACCAATACGAGAAACAGAACAAGAAATCTACACCGGGAAATCGCCAAAGAAACAGACTGAGCGGATCTAGCAAAGCTCGAAGACTTCGCGTATCTTGCATTGTATGGACTAGCTACTTCTTGGTTGCAATAAACACACACACAATCATATTATCAGTCGGTTTATTGGTCATTTTTTTGAAAACCTACCGATCCATTCTTTTGAGTTGTTCCGACCGAAACATAACCTACAATAATTAGTATCTAAAAATTATTTACGTACATTAAACTTTTTATTAGTTTTTTAAACATAGCTAATAAAAGAATTATCGAAAATTTAATTCTTAAATATAGTAATAAATATGTGAAAAAATGTAATAATCATGAATACAATAATTATTGTAAACGTTTTATTGAATAATTCAAGTATTTTATGTGCGTTACATCACATAATATTTTACGCGAAATTTTGCGCAAGTAACAAATAAATGATTAATTACCTAAATGTTGCTCCGCCGGCGCCCGATGTTCCTCCTGAACCACCTCCTCCTCTCAGTCCTCGCAGTCTAAAGCACTCACTCGCGTTCGCGTCGCAAATACAAAAGTCGTGCGACTTTTTAAAGGACACTCCCGACGCGTAACTTTGCCATTTTAAGACAAAGATGTAACTATTATCGCACGGAATACGTTCGACACTCTCTGCAATAGGTAACGACGGAAAAGGAGAGATGGGAAACTGTGGGAAGTAGTAAAAGTATTATTGGAGAGGACAATGCGCTGCTACAAAATAATCTATCCCGTACAAGTGTCGCCGTGCGAATAATAACAGGACTATAGAAAGCACAAGGTCACGTCGATTCGGACTTGAAGGAATGCGAGGAGTAGGGAGAAATAATGTTTATGCTGATACATAGCACACATGAAAAAGGAAGAAAGAGGGGATATAGAGCGCGCATACCAAATACGATGATGTAAACAACCCCACCACGCGTCGCGAGTCGATCTCGAAACAAAATAATTATCGAATATTTATCAAAAGCGAGTTTTAAACTCAACTCGATTTTGAAATAAATCTTTGATTTTTAGTTTATATGTAAACGCATTTTCTAAAAATCATATTTATTTTTACAATATAAATAATATTCCTCGTTTAAATAAAGTTAACTTTGCACTCTCTTAACTTTCTCTACTTCAGTAGTCTTCCATACGAAATTTAATTCAAGTAACTGCGCGGAACTTTCAATGGTATGTTAAAATCTCCATTCGCAAGTACCTCGTAACTTTTGTGGAATGGACTTAATTGTTGCAATTTCCGGTTTGCACGACTAGCTTCGGGCACTGAAATAAACGTCCTTTATTGCTCCATTCTTCGAGTAGCCGCCAAGCTGCTAACTGTTACGACCAATTCCTATCTATCACGAATTATGTGCGCGCGAATATCGTTATCCCCTTATTTCTGCGGAGACCCCTAAACTCTCTCCGCGGATTTTCCAGTCATAGGATTCGACTCGCCGATAAAGAAACCGTGCTATCGCTACAAGTAACGACGCGTATACGGTAATGAAATATTTTTTAGACGGTCCGCCATATAAACGAACGTATGTGTGACTTCTGTGCTGCAAGGGCTTTCCAGGCATCACAGTCGCGAGAAACTGCAGGTGGAAGTACGCGTGACTATGCAACAGTCAGTGGACAAAGCAATCGCTTACTGCCCTCCGGGAATATTTAAATACGAATTTGCGTTACGCATCTGAATTAAGTTTTTTGTATCATTATCGTTTTAATGAAGACGCATTATATATGACAGTAGGAAAGTATGGAAATCTATATGTGAATTCACAAATGAAGTTATTCCAACACTGGAAAGTAGAATGAGAGTTTTATAAAATATGATATTTTTCCTTTTTTAATTATTAAATCAAAATATGATAATAATTCTTTAAAAATATTAATATATTAGAAAATTTCTATGTATCACACCAATATTAAATCCGGTCATAATTTATTGCCAACCGGTCGTTTCGCAAAAGCCGGAAGGAAATTGCGGAATCGGTGGTGATCGAGTGGGCGCCGCGCGAAATCGATGGGTCTCTCCGTGTACTTTTCAAACGCACTGTACGTAAGTATCCAAGTGCAAGGTGCACGGTATTCTCAACAGTTTCCACCGTACGCTATACATAATGGAGGTTAGCCGCAGGATGGTAAATCACAAGACGCCATGCGGGCGTAGTTATATCGTGCGTGCGTGATGGAAGATTAGTACGGCATTGTGCGAGCATCGTGGAGGCACGCGATGATTTATCGCATACGAAAACGCGTAGGGTGACTCTCGCCGATGATCGCTACCTTTGCGCGGACGTTCCGAAACGGAAAGTCGTCTCGCTGAGGCACGCCATCACATGTCATTCTAAGGAAGGCCATAAAGTCGGATTTTATTCTAGTCCCTGACGACATTGAGAATGACGTCAGCTGATCGGCACATATTCCCAGTTTCACAACGTGTCCTAATATCCAGAAATCTTAAATATTAAAGAAAAGAAAATATAAAAAAATTTCAAACATTAATAATTCCAAATCATGAAAGTTCAGTTTGCATTTAAATAAAAAAAAAGAAACAAAAGAATATCATAGTTACAATTAAAATTTTTTAATAATTGTAACAATAGAAAATAAGAATACTTAATCCGTAACTGCATTCTCGCGAGCAAGATGATTCGATACGCGACGAGGATAACGTTGCGCGGAAGGTACTTAAAATTCGGGACGGGCCTGAATGCTTGAAGAACAACGAGCGCGCGTGAGAGGATATAACTGCCCCGAAGAGACCGCCGGAGTACGAGACAAAACCGCACTACTGTAAATGGTAGCAGCCTGCAATCATCATATTTCTTGATGATGGCCGGCCCCAGCCGGATACGCAGGAACGTGTATGCGAGGGGACAGAGAATAGTCGAGTCCCTTGAAGAGAACCGCGAGAGGCCGAACCGCAAAACCGTTCTGTTCCTTATTGCTCGACCTCTGTCGGTCGCGCGCTCCTCTTCTCCACCCTGCAGCATGCACTAACGTATAGGCCGTCGCGGCTAGGCAGAGCGATTGAGACCACAGAGCACTTAAGACCCGCGTATGAGCTCGTACGTGAAACGTTCGTCCGGCGACGTTCAACCTGATTTCTCCATTGACCCCTCGGTTATGGGCATTTGAACTGAATTATTCGGTAGAGAACGACTTTGTAACAACGCGAAGAGCGACATTAAACCGGTGAAGCTAATCGACTGTACGTTTTCAAATATTCGCATCTACAAAAATGAGAAATAAAAGATCAAGATCTATATGTGAGATCAAATATGACAAAAATGATTCAATTTTACGAATATAGAATTTATGTATAACTTACAATTAGAATTTTAATATCTAAAAAGAGATACGTAATTAATAATGATCTAAATTTTTTGTTATTACATCAATCAAATCCAATATTTTTCTCGTGTTCCGAAAATCCTCTTATCCTTTAGTTCGTGCATTTATAATGCTTTTAAGTGAATTATTTTTACACTCAATTCAATATGGTACTTTCGTGATCCGGATGAACGATTGCGGAGCAAGGCGGTAAGAGCGTGAGCTTGGAGCACTTAAGCTAATTGACTAATTATAGCGACAGGTGAGAGGATGCCACGTGAGCAGCGAGAAAGAGAAGCGCGACGTGCGGGAGGCAATGCGAGTTTGCGGGATAAGAAATTGGAAAGCATTATAATACGATGTTTGATGTTCTTTATTGCGATGGGGATGTGGTCGTGTATATCGAAGCGCGGTACGCAGGCACGCACGCAGCGCATGCTTCTTGTCCGTATAGCCAGTGTTATACGGTACCAGATGACTTGCTCCGCGGCTAACAACCTACCCGTGTTTCCACGAGATACTATGTACCGCGTGCGATTACGTAACTATTACTATCACTGTTACTACCATCGTAATTATGACTCTAATTACGGTAACTCCGATAATTATACTTTGAAACGTTCGAACATGCAACGCTTATGTGATGACTGGATCAATCAAGGTTTCATCTCAGTTTTTTCCGCCTTTTCACTCATAAATCAATATGGAAATCATACACGTGTACACATTATTTTCAAAAAATATTTTTTAAACAGAAGTTTTAATTATTATTCATGAAAAAAACAAGATTTGTCCAGTAATTATATATATGCTCTAAAATGTCAAAATGTTTTACTTCGATCGTTTTGACCTGATCAGCTTCTAACGTTTAGATCAGTTTTTTGTTAAAAAAAGATCAAAAAAGGAAAAGGATTAGATTAGGAAATTTGGAAATTATTTAAAGCTCCTTTCCAGGGTCAATGCACGAAATTCTTTCGATGTACAATGATGGAATTCGTGTCATAAATTAGATTCTGAGAAACGAAAGAAATGCGGTCTCTGGTGACCTGTAATATTTCCTTTCTGTGTGTAATGTCGGCAGTATTATGTGAGAGAGTTTCGAAGTCCGATTTGCCTCGCTACGAGGTTCAAAAAGCTCGCGTGGTTGTAAAAAATAACGCGAATCGAATCTATTTTATTGCAACAAATTTTATTATTCTGCTGTTCATATATTTCACAAAAAATAAAAAATTGATTAATTTAAAACAACAAGTAGAATTAAAATTAGAATTGTACAGAATTATAAGAAGCAAGAGAAAGTATCGCTCTCTTGATCTGGTTTGAAGGCCTGATCAAATTGGAGACGGTTCTCGGTGACGAAATAAAGGGCACAATTTACGAGATGAGGCGACTGCAGGATATAAAGAAGCGGCCGGTCTTTAATCAGGGCAAAGCAGAGTACCCAGAACTGAACGCGATCCAACCGGCGGAAAGAGAGAAAGAGGGAGAACGAGAAGCTACACTGGCAAGCAGAGGGAACGGAGAAGCCACCGAACCCATGCGTCATTGGATTAAGATTGTAACCAAATTATTCATCCGGTAGGCGTCCTGCGTAAGATACCAACACGAGCAGAAGTCAGGTACGCGTAAAGGCGTTGCATTGCAACGAGCGATAACACTGGCTGATATATGGGGACCACACAAAGCGCGTAACGGGATTTTAAATCGGAATTAATAGTGCCCTTTGCGAGACCCCGCGGGACCTTCGCAAGGACCTCGTTTTTACTCGTTTGAACACATCTCGTAAATCGATAATAAGGAAGAATTGGTGGAAAAATTGGCTAAACGTATACCTGGCATGAGAAATTCAAGAACTGCGAGAATTTGTTGCATCGCTAGATGAATCTAATAAAAACATATTTACAAACAAGATACAAGGATATTTTTGAAAATTAATCATGCACTTAATCTCTTTAAATCAAGACTATTGGGCTTTAAATTGTCGTTATAAAAAATTAGACAAAAATTAAATGATAGTAGCATTGACTTTTTAAATTTATCATCGAAACAAATTTTGTATTAAAATAATAGATGAAAGTGTGACTTTTCCAACAATGTATAATACACATAGACATTTCCGAAAATTCTGCTGCTATTAAAACTTTCCAAAATTTTTTCTTAAGCTTGATAAATGAGTTTTCTAAACTTTTCTTACGGAAAATCTTCGTTCGATATACCTGAGGTAAAATTTGAACTTTACATTTCATCGGTTTTCTCGAATTGCATGGTGAACAGTGGCGAGTCGTTGTGCTATTGCCACATGTTTATTACACCTCTGCCTTTTACATCGCGTACACGAGTTCGTGCGAAACTCGCCGTTTA